AAAAGAAAGGAAAGGGGAAAAAGAATGCCACAGTTCTCCAGCAGAAAGCCTTTTATTGTAAAGGATATTATCACCACTGATTAAGGCTCACTTGCAAGACAAATCTGATGATAGTTCTTTTAAAATAAGAAAAGAGTTGGAAAAAATGAATTGTCCAAGGTCACATGAAGTTTTTCAACAGAAATGGGAACAGATTCCTTGACTCTTAATTCCCAAATGCTAATCTATAGTCTGAATAAAGTATCCCCCTAAAATAAGCTCATAAGAGAAAAGGCAGTAAAGGAGGGGGTAAAGAGTATATCATAAAGAAATCAACAGGTAGATAATGCTCAAAGTAATTGAATAAAACAGATAGCACTGGAAAATTAGAAAATATGTTAATACTTATTTCCTCAGCAAAAGTAAGAGTCTGCCATCAATCATGATATAAATATGAAGAACTTCTAAAGTGTTCATGCACTGCAAGCTTGTTCATGGACAGAGGTTATGGAAAAACCTTGGAGAATATGTTAAAAAAAAGCAGAGAATGACTTTAGGTGACCTCATTTGTCTCCCCAAAACAGAGAAAAGACTGCAGTTCTCTGAATCAGCAGCTGGAAACCCACTAGATATTGTCAAGAGCAAACAAAAAAACGTTGTTCAGGGCTGTGAAGCTCTTTTCAGAATTAAATCTCCACAGGCTGCTTTGGAAGAGGCAGAGGAGAAATCCCCACACGTTATGTTTCCAATCCTTTCCATCAAGGAATCTGACAAAACTTCGAGAAAACTGACATTGTTTGCTTTTCTACCAGACAATAAGGAAAAATTTCTTTTATCTACCTGAACAAAAATATACCAAGAGTCTCATTCTCTCAGCTGGACCAATTCCAACAAAAACTTTTCTTTTTCTAGAAAGTGAGGTTTTTCTTATATGTATTACAGATGAAAAGATTTACAGGGACTTAGCTAAAGCTTCTGATTAGGCTACTGTTCATAGATGCATAGCCTATCTAGTCTAATTATTGTGTTACGTTTATCTTATACTCCATTAAAATGCATGTAAAACTACAAAATAAACTTTTCAGAACTACAAAAAAAAAAGTTTGTTTCAGAATGATATCTGTTAATTGCCAGCTGGAGTATATATTTTGCAGTATAACAGGAGTAGTTGCAAGAGTCTGTTTGGACAGTGAAAATAGGAGGTTGACTAAATGTGTAATAAACTTTATTTAATGGAGCCCATGGAGGAAGGAGACCCTGTCTGCAGCCCCCAAACTGCTGCGTACAGCCACCCGTCCCCGTTCACTTTTGAGTACAGACCAGGGACTGCACTCAGCTGCTGAAGAGGCATTTACTGTCTGAACAACATCCCCACCTCCTCTGGGAGAAAAGGGTGACAGACTGGATAGATGCATCCTTCCGGCTGGATTCAACCTGGAGACCACCCGCTAATGCACACCAATCTACCTGACACACTGCATATTTCCAACTCCCTCTAGAAGAAATTCTGGCATATTGATACAAACTACATACAAAAATAACTAAGACAAGTCCAGACAAAAATACTCAAGATAGCAGAAGCAAAACCACGGAGCTCCATTTCTGGCAATCCATCTTGATCTTCAGCAGGGTCAGTTATCTAGCTGCACTGCTATATTATTTCTGGGATCTAAACTGAGTCACTCAAAGTTCAGGTCACCGGCCACGCTGGGGAAGCATGGGTGTTTGGCTCTTCACCCCAGCCTTGTCTTAGGTTAGAGAGGCCTCACCAGAAAGCAGCTTTCTTTGTATCTAAGCCTACATAAAATAGTGAAATTGTGAGCTAAAGCTGAATTTTGCTTGGGGAATATATTTGTCTTTGCCTAGGTGGTACATTTCTCAATTAAAAAAAGTTCTCATATATTTCCTTCTACAGACATCTGTTAAGATTGTTTCTTATGTAACAGAAATACTAGGTCAAGATGCCATAGCATTTAAGAGAGGGAAAGAATGCAAAAACCCAGAAACTCCTGGTGTACAGCATTGTGTAGACATAAAATTCATCAGGTGTTGCATCTGTGTTGAGAAAAATTGAACTAAAATGCAGAAATTAGAAGAACAAAATATCTGCAATCTAATTAAAAACAGACGCAATCATTACAGAGAGAAAGTCAGGGAAAAAGGTAGAAGCAGATTTTATTTGATATTCATACATAGATCACATTGAAGTTTTAGGTTTTCTGTCTTTGTTAAATTTATAAAATATTTTATTTTATTTATAAAATGGCCACATAACTGACTTTACCAGAATCAATCCAGGAATTAGTCTGAAGTCCTGCCAAGCTAGTAAGAGGTCACACTGTTCTAAATTTTCATGTCTGTACTTCCAGGGAGTAGAATTTTTCATGTACAACCTAGTGAAGTCCATAAATCTACTCTTTTAATTCCAAATTAATGCCTCTACTGAACTGAAGATCATTGTTCTTTGCTGAGAACAGCAACTGGAAAGTAGGGAATATGACGAGCTGAAGAGCACATTAAAAAAAAAAAAAAAAAAAAAAAAAGGAGCTCATCCAAGGTGATTCTAAATAAAAAAAAAATTAAAAAGTTTTACCCTATAAATTGCTACATATTAGCGTTGAATCTTGTCATTTTTACTTTACGGCAGCTTTTAGGCACTGCATAGAAACTGAGGACTGCATACATAGGTCAAATTTTGGAGAAAAAGAACAAGTAGGTGGATACAAATCATACATTTAAGAAAAGAAAGGGGGAAAAAAAAAAGAAAGCAAGAAAAACCAGGACTAAGTGCTACCAAACCTACCCGTCTTCCTTCTAGAAACTTCAGAGCTGTGCCAATGTTGGCAACCCAGTGAATTCTCTTCAGCTGACGTCCCTGCTCACAAGGCTTAAAGAGAAAGAACAGCGTAAACTCCTATTAGATTTATGCCAATTTGCTACAAAAAATGAAGTTCTAGTTTATTATAAATGCCTATGTACATACCGTAGTCTGATTTATATGTAAAAACATTCCTCGGAACAGTTAAATTGTATCTTTGCATATACTAACAAGGAGGATTGACAGATATAGAGAATATAAATGTGATACTTCTATTATAAAAAAGTTATATAAGTCTTAATAACCTCAGGATGCAAGCTGTTGGCTTCAGCCCATAAACTTCATCAAATCAGAAAACTATTTTTCTTATATAAATTAAACTACTCCTGTTTTTACACACACACACACACAAACACACACACACATATATATTTGAGAACATTCTTTCAGTAAAATATTTTTGCCTGCAAAGGAGAAGTCAAGGTGGTTGTTATTTTTAGAAATCAGTCTGCAGTTAAGGCATTTTACCTAGAGGATTTTTATCCATTCTGTCTAATAACTTATTGGCAATAAAAATCCCACCTATCATAAAACCTCATTGAACAATAAATTTTGCTGAACTTTAGACTTGTAGGCTAAAAAAATACAGAATTCTTTGAATTAAATCAAGAACATATCCTAGGTTTCTAATACTCTACAGTGGAATTAAATTCCCCACTGAAACTTATTTTCTAATGCAAATATACAGCTACTATCATTTAAATTCATGTTCATAAAGTTACAAATGGATTTTACAAAGCGCTGCTATAGATTCTGAAATTCCTCTTGCAGTTACTACAGAATATCATATTCTGGTATACATAAACTTTAAATTAACCAGAAATTATTCTCATTCTGCAATATCTCTTGTCATTCACTAAATAATATCGGCAGGATACAATCCAGTGAATTTCATTTTAACAGGGGCTGTCATTAAAATTATTTTCCTGTTTTGCCACAAGAGGGAGACTTTCTGTCTTAGAGGAACAGAAACAGAAATAGGTACTTTTCAAGAGAGCAGAAACACACTTTTCCCATCTTACAGTAAAATCACTCTTGCAGTCTGAATTACTAATTTGGGGTATCACCTGCAATCAAAACAGAGGTGAAATATGAAAAAGAGGTAAAAGCGTGGCACTTGCAAATTGCCTGCGTGTGAGGGAACAGGTAACCTCTGAACCCTAGAGCAAGTCGAATGACTGTTGATCTGCTCCTTCGGATGCTGCCACCCGATCTGCGAGCGGGATTGGAAAATGGGAGAGCCCTTGGCCTAAAACCCGTTCGTTTTTCTCCCACATCATGTGCACAGAAGCGGCCTGACTCCCAAGAGGCAGCCCATTTGCCATGCACACACCACGGCCTCTGTACACAAGTTGGCTGTGAAAAAGCCATTTGGCATCATTTAAGGTTCTTTACACTAGCAGAGCAGCTGCCAAGGTAAATGAGTATAAGATCCTGTGAAATTTGAGGGGTTTATTTGGTTTTTTTTTCAGATGGAAAGTCATAAATTTAACAAAAAAAGACTGTCTTAATTTCTTCAAGATGTATAGAAATAGCTTGCAGTTTAGACCCTGTTTGTGTCATAGTAGTAACACCCAGATTAACTGCAAAGACTAATAAAAATAAGCAACTTTATGAATTACTAAGACAAGATTAATAGAAAATGCATAAAAATCAAGAATGTCAGCCTGTAATAATCTTTCTTTTTGTTGTTTTGTAACCAGATAGCCCACTCTGTAAATAAACTTATCTTGCTATGTAGCAGTCAGGGGTTTTAACGGCATTCAAATACAGAAACATACTATAAAATTATATCCTAGAGAAGTTATGCAACTATCTTGTATGTTCAGACAGAAGGAAGTTCTTACCAGCTTCTGCCCTGAAAGAACCTCCAAAAGGGCAATTAGCATCACCCCATCTTTGATATCTTCAAACAGATCATTCACCACCATGGGAGGATTGCGCTGAAAAGGGAGAAGACTTCAGATGTTATAAAGGCTCACCAGCATTACATCCTACCTCACTTCCTTTCCACAGAAGCTCAAAGAGTGGTTGGTACCCTTGTTTAAGTTTTATAATGTTTATTATCGATGTATCATTTAACCATTGCTTTGCCACCATATTGTGTAACTATTTAACATTTCTGGCGCAGGACTGTAACACTGGATGCTTCCTGCCGGTAATGACACAATGGTGAAACCTGCTCCCTAAAACAAGCAAAGAAACACACCGAGGACTGCCTATGAGTCTGTAAAATACACACAACTTTTGGACGTACTATTACAGGCGCATTTCAGTCCATCAGCATCTTTTGCCTAGTGTTAAGTACATCACAGAAATTTCACACTCTCAGTCTAAGCAATACAAGGAGCTATAGGAAGGAAAGATCCCTAAAGCGGTGGAGCTGGTTGAGCAATGCTACTACTTTGTCACAGCTGACAGTTGTTACACCGAGTTGCTGAATTTTCTCTCCTCTCCTCCAGGCCTTGCAGGCTTCCAGTGCTGTTAGCACTATGTCAGCTTCTACTTAAGACAAATTGCTTAGCATATGTCTTTACAGTCACAAACACAACAATGATAATACTGAAAAATATGTAAACAGATGATGCTTTAGGAATTCTGAATAACAAGGTCTCATCATTAAACTCCATCTTAAATTCATCCCAGTTTGTGGAACTATGGCTCTCAGCTTGTCAGTACTTTAATGATCACAAAATGTCTCTTAGGAACAAAAACTTTAAACTTGGTCCAGCTGAAATAAATAAAATAAACACCCTCTAGCTTCCATGAGCTTGTGAGCATTCATATACCTGCTAATTAACGTAATGCTAATATTCATACTTGCTAATTCACTAAAATGACAATCAGACTACAAATTTCTTGAAATTACTTTAATAATTTACTTTCAGTATACTTTGGAAAAAAAAGATGCTTGTACAATAACTTGTTCTATTACTTCTGTTCTGTAGACACATAGATTTGCAAAGATGAACCTAACAAAGGAAACACTGCTCTTGAAAAATGTAAAAACACTATAACAAACTGGGAGAACGCAAAGGTTTCTAGTTCCCAAAATCAAAACATCCTGCCTTCATTGTTCAGCTTGGATGAACTAATATTTCAATGAGACATAATTTTGGTACAAAGTGGAAAAAGAACTCTGCTGAAAGCAGACTTCATCTGAGATTTGACGTGCTCTAATAGCCACAATAATAAAAGAGTCTATTTTCCTGCGTATATAAAATAAAGCAGCATTACAACTCATTACAAGGGTATATTTAATCATAGTTCTTTTTTATTTCGTAGCACTGAAATAGATAATGGATCATGTTCTTCCTTAATACAACACCAAGAAATCAATGGAGCAAACAGGTCATTGGAGATTAATTTGTCCCAGTCTTGCATCACAGGCAGTTGACGTAAATGTAATTAATTTTCCTCACCTTCTATGTTATCATTTCCTCTTTGAAGTTCAGAGCAGCTTTGGTTTTCTCAGTATTACTGCACGATATAATACTGAAGAATTTTGTGCTAAAATAATTCAACAATAAAGACAAGAGGATTATAGCAGCTGCTATCCTAATCCAACAGGAGGTGAAGGCCTAAAAAATCTCACCACCTATCTAAATGGCCCAAGTGGTGAGGTTTGTCTCTTGAAATTTCACTCTACAGTAATGAAGAGAGACAAGTTCTTATAGAGGGCAATTTATGATACATTTAGATCGAAGAGTAAGTGAGACTTAACGGTGCCCCGTAGCCCTGGTGCCCATAACGTTCCTGTCAGACAACCTGCTTGAGCACAGCACAGCTCCCTTCCAGCTTGAGCAGTTCAGCACCCTTACTCTCAAATCAGGATACAGGCCAGAATTTGCCTCATCACAACATGAAGTCAAAAGTCATCCGGAATTCATATGCAAACCGAGTCTGGGAAGCAGCTCTGGTTTCCACAGTGCATAGCTTCACACTATAGATAAAACCTCTGATCGCCCATGTCAAGCTCCTGCTCTGAACCACCCTTCACTGGTCACTTCCCACTGACAGAAGTTACAAAAACTGGATTTGCACCCTAACTGAGGCATGGTACTAAGGTAAGGCAGCGAAAGTATCCCTGAAGACATCATCTGAGTAAATGAGCACCTTCAGTACTTTCCTTTCGACATGAATGGAACATTGGTTTGGGGAATACTAGGGGAAGTATGAAAAAGCCTTGAATAAGATGAGAAGCAGCAAAGAAACCATCAAATGACTTACACCAAAGTTAATAAGACCAGCTGCTCCGGGTGTGAGAATCTGAACAACTGTGCATAAATCAGCAGGCTGACATGTACTTTTTGTTGCTGGAAGGCTGCGTAATTACAAGCACTGCCAGTGTTTAGCAGCACGTACCATGTACCTTAACACCAATAAAACAAGAGCAGAAGGCAGGTACAACAGCTGTGTCACAAGATCTCCTGTAAGAGACTCCTCTGATATGGAAAAATAGTTAATTATACAGACTGCCAAAAGCATTCTTCATAATACGCTTTATAATATAATATTTTTCACTACTCTGAAGATGTTAACACTTAATTACAAGTAGGTAAGACCATCATTGTGTTTCAAAAAAATTTTTTTTTTTTTACTACTCCAGGCACATAGCATAGAATTTACCCTATTATTAGACTCCAGGCTCTCTCAGAAGTATGGAGTGAGTTATATTTTTAGTGGCATACATAGAAGAATAGATTCTGCTTTTACAGAAGGATTCCATAGATACCAATCTTACTCCCCATGACGACACATTTCAGGAAGATATACGTGCACTAGCTGATACTGAGAAGTTCATACGCCCTTATTTATTGTATACGGATCATGGCACAGGATGGCTCAAGCTATTTGACTGTTTTTCCAGGCAGATCCTCTACTGAGATTAATGCAACACCTTCTGTTGGAATGGATAAATACCTACTCCTTGGCTGCATATATAATGTCAAATGAAATGAAAGAAGAAAGTGAAGCTATACACTGCTTACTTACTAGCCTCCAGAGAAGAAAGGGGTTTTTTTAAAGCTGTCTTCATTTAAAATCTATTGAATATTTTTTATTCTAGATACTCAACAGGACTTACCATCTATTCATTTAGTTGCCTTATTGCACTGCCAAAATACTAACTGTAAATCAGTAAAAGCAGGGAAAGAAAAGTAACTTAAAATTTTGTAATCTTGAAAATGTTGAATGCACTCCAGATTTTGGATTTTTGCACGTCAATGTATAGCTCTAGCAATGCAATCAACTGCAATGATCCTAATACACTGTACTCTGAATGTTAGAAAGCTTACACAAAGAATTTAATGAAGTAATTTTTAAACCAGGAAAAAAGAACATTTTAAAAGTATATGAAGTTATGCCTCAAAATCCTATAATACTAAAGAAAAGCTGTTATTTATAAACTTCTTGACCAAACTCTTTGGGAGAACTCAGAATATACTTTAGTGAACAATCGAACATTAAATCTACGACTTGTCAAATCTACACCATGATTTCAGATGTGTTAGTATTTGATTTTGTGTTTTCGTAAGCTTCTTCAAGAAATCAAAATAGCAAAATAATACTAATGATAAGCTACATACTGCATTGCACATATTACATTAAACGCTCATTTATTGCAGTATATGCGATCACAGTAGCGTAGTTTAAAATGTCCATGATATTTAGACACAGTCATGTCACAAAGAGGGAGACACATTCAGTACAAGTAAATTCATGTGCTCTGTAGGAGGAATATGAATTAATGGGAAATAAATCTTAAAGGTTAATGAACCAGATTTTTCCCATATTAAATATCTATTTAAATAACTGTATTTAGCATTGATCACAAATGGGAACTGGTGAGGAAATGTTTTGCTTAAACTTGTTGCTCATGCAAAGTTACCTGCTTTTCTATACTATTCATGAAATATTCTGAATGATTTAAAGGACTGAACATCAGCACATATGAAAAATATTTGGCTGACAAGCCTCAGAAAAAGAGATTTGTAATAGACTTGCAATCTCTAGGCATTCCTCATCTGACAGAGTAAAATTTGTTTTGTAAAATCCAAACCTCAGATATGGAACCAACACATATTTGTTACATTTGCTACAGGAATCTTTTCCTCACACCCTGTACTTCACTTCTCTAATGAATAAATCGTACTATACAAACAGTATCTGCATCATAATGAATGCCAATGCAAACATTGGAAACTACCATTGCTACATCAATTTTCAATTAATGTTTCAAAAACTGCTGAAGAAATGTGTGCAAACCTATCCACATGCACAAATAGGAATAAATCTGTGTAACCACTGAATTTGTCTCTGCAGGAAGATACATGTGGGAACAGGAAGGAGAATGTGAAATTTCAGAGATACTCTGTAATAGCAGGCCCACTCCTCTGCCCCAATTTAATTCCTAAATCCTTAAGCACCTAGGTTTTCATATTTCTTCCTGTTAATGACTATTTTTATGACTAAAGTCTGAGGGACTCAGCCCTAAGTTTTACATGATTAGTTTCATCACACAAATTAATTTAGCATTCACTGTTTAATGTTAGACGTTACAGGCAATATTAGTGAAAACATACAGTGACTGTTGAAGCAGAAAACCGCCAGTCAGATTTTCCTCATCATGCAGTCAAGATGGACATTAGCTTAAATTTTTTGTGTGTCAGTGACTAAGATACTGGGAGCCTCTGCTTTCCCATTTGAAAAAGACAAAAAGACACAGAATTACTTCGTTCGCTGATGAAAATGGATGAGGTTCTTGCATGAAGACCAACTTACATTCTAAGAACAAACTACCATCGCCGACAGCATTGTGTGTGAGCTGTAAATCTTGATATACCCATTTCTTTTTTTTTTCCTTTCTTTGCTATAAAACATCATTTTGCAAGTTCAAAAGTCTTAATGTAAATAATGCCCAGGTTTAATTCAGCATTATAAAAGCATTGTGTAAGTATAATTTTAAAATGTTCACCCATTCTTAGTTTATTTTATTTGATATCCATCCTCTGCTTTTGTTTGTTGATGTGTACACCCTTTTAATGGAAGTACAAAATGAATAATTTATTTTGGTACGTATTTGTTGTTCTCTCTATTTGGTCAGTTTGAGTTTACAACAATACTTCGGTGAGTACAAATACTGAAGTTATCCCTACACCTGGGAACAAAAACGTTATTTGATGGGATAAACTAATATACAGTCTGTGTTCCCAAGCTTTGAAACTATTGTTTCCCAACACTTTCACCACAGATGACAAAGGCAATAAAAGGCATATGCCTCTGCTATTTTACAAAAAGGCATATTTTTTCATCTTCTTTACTCATCCAATCCACTACCTAAAAAATCAGCATAGGCAATGAAATGAAAAAACATTTAAGTACTTGTCATTCTGAATGGATGTAATGTTTACTTTTTGACACATTTGGTGTAACATTGCTCTGTATTTTAAACTTAGACTTTGAAAAGATGCCTCAAAAGATACCGAGAAGCGTACTTAAATTATTTCTATGTCTTTGAAGGCTGAGACTGAGAGGAGGGAGGTCCAGTTCTACAACCTTAGAGAAATATGAATAAATAACATGTAATTAGAAAACTTTTTGTCCTATTACACATGCATATACCATTTATCATTAGTAGAACTGCACAGATACACAAAAATTAAACTGGATGGCCAGAAGATAGATCACACTCATTTGATAGATTGTAACCCCATTTCTGCAAGTGGGTGGCAGAGAAGAGATGATTTCCAGTTGCTGAGTCATCAGATTCCCAAGTCAGAATCACAGAAAGGATTCAGCTGGGGTTAGGGAGACAGAGAGCAGAGGGACAGTTGCAGCCTAGTGCTAACAGCTGACCCAAAATGAAGCTGCATTATACCACCTGCTAGTTACCATACCTGCAGCTCTTTCCTCCGTGTTCATCCCCTGTGGGACATTGCCCTGCGGGTGAGGGCACAGGTTGTGCTAGGACTGTTTTACCTCAGTCCTTCTTTGAGCTGATGCTAAGTGCTTTACCTGTCTTCTGCTTGTAAAAGAACACAACTTTGAATCAGGAAATATAATTTTAAAAAAGGTAGCATTCTATTGTAAGAGCAAGAGAGAATAAAAAAAGTCATAGCTCCTTCCTACTCCCTTTTGTGAAGTTGAATTCATAGAACCATAAAAGTGTTTAAGTTGGAAAAGACCTTTAAGATCATAGAGTCCAATTATTAACCTAACAATGCCAAGTCCACCACTAAACCATGTCCCTAAGCACCACATCTACACATCTTTTAAATACCTCCAGGGATGCTGACTCAACCACTTCCCTGGGCAGCCTGTTCCAGTGCTTGACAACCCTTTTGGTGAAGAAATTTCACTGGTACTCTCATTTCATTTACCCATTTTGTTCATTCTTATTTATTTGTATCCGTATTCTCAAACCCATTCTTAACTTTACAGTTAAGATTATTTTTATAATTTACTTGATAGACTTCACTTAGTTATTGAACTAGTTTCTGTTTCAATTAGAGCACAACTGTTTAGAAGAAAAGCATACACTAAGATTTTAAAGATTAGAAGTGAAGAATCTTTCACTCACAGCAAACACTGAAAAAGTGTCACACCCTGCTTTCTATTTCCAAACTATTAATTGTTTTTTGGTTCTACTTAACACAATCAAATCAGTTCTGCATTTCCATTTCTTTTAAATCACTACCCTTCACAATGTCAGAAACCACTCTTTTTTTTTAATCCTTCTTTGTTCTACCCTGCCGAAACCAGGACATCAACCAACACAGTATAAGAATGAAACTCTACCTTAGTAGAGTTTCCTTTCCTTTGTCATCAGTAAACCCATCTTCCAAATTGCTGCAGTGAAACTCCATCAATCTTTCCTTAGAAACCATTAATTTCTCCTGGTTTTGAGGTTTCATGCAGTTAATCATGAGTACTTTTCTAAAAATATTCAAACTTATTCGCGATGGAACATTTCTCAAGATAGCCATGGTATCAGAGTTACAGATGCTTTAATTATAGTTTTTAGGTTTTTTTCTTATTTCCTCCTGGTTTTTATTAATCATTTTACTAGATTAGTAAAAATGGCAACCATTAAACTTTTCTCCAAAAATAAAAGGACAGAAACCCAGAGTTTTCCAACTGTAGCCAAGAAATAGCCAATTTGAAGTGAAGTGAATTTTGAAGCCTGCATATACCGAGTCAAATTCCGCACACTAATTCTGGATTGATGGTGAGAAACAAAGACAAAATTCAAAACACCTTCCCCCCAGCTACCCTTTTTTTCCCCAGGCTCAACTTCACTCCTCCACTCCCAGCTCCCCTACCTCGCAGTGGCGCAGAGGGATGGGGAATGGCTGGTCCAGTATGGGGCAGCCCCAGCATCTCCTCACAGAGACCGTGCTGCAGACCCCCGCTGCCGGCACCTCAACCCCTGCACCCAGTCCGGTCCCACACCTGCCTCCATAGCATCTAACCCCAGTGGAACTTCACTGGCTTTAACAGACACAGGCCCAAATGCAGAAGCGTGTATTGCTGGTTCTCTGCTATCAGTATGAGGCCAGCGCTTTACGGTGTTCCTCGCTAGGTACTATTTTGGCAGGTGCTCCATGTTTTATTGGGTTCAAAGGCGAGGGCAGAATGCAGACAATACTGCCTAAAAATGGGTCTCCTTCCAGGATTTTTCCTTATCACATTTCAAAAGCCTCCAGACAATGGAGATGTTACAGCTTTCCAATTTCTTTTGAAATAATAAAAACCACAACAATCTTTTACAAGAATCAAATAACCTAAATATCAAATTTCTGGGTTATAATTTGGAACACGAGTGCCAGGGGAGTCCTGTGCATTTCACAGACTCATCAATATTTCCTACAGCTGTGATGAACTCAGAAAACTACTTCCACACTTTCCAAAAACATGACTACAGAGATTTAAAAGCTTAAGCTTTAAAAACAGAAAAAATTTGAATGGCATGGGTCACTTCTGTTGAGTCTAATCTCTATAATTTATAAAAAGTGCTTCTCCTGTGGGGGCATAACAGCATAAATGGAAGCAAAGGGAGCTAGTCTATATATCTGACTTTGGCAGGGAGGCACACTTGCTGACAGCCATCAACACAAGTACCACAGAAACAACTTTCCTGTTAAAGGGTGAATTAACACAGACCAATTACTACAGGGTAGCTCAGGTAGCAAAAAGTGAGGGCTGTGGCTAGTTAACTTCTTGGTTTGAACGTATTTGATGATTAGCTTTCACAATATCAGAACCTTTAAGGAAATACACGCCTCGATCCCACAAGTCAAAAGGTCTACCTGGGCTTTCACAGCCCAAGGGCAGCAGCACTGTAAAGGTAGTATTCTCAGCTTCCAATCCAAAGCAAAATCTCTTCACTGAGCTGCCACTGCGACTTTGCCTCTTCCCAAGGATCTGTCAGTTATTACCAGCAAATTATCATTACATACACACAATGTATATACCTATCAATATGTACATACATCTACTTGTCAATTATTATGGGATATTATTAATTATTGACACAATACCATTAGGAAATAGAAGAACGTGAAATAAGAGTTCTTCTCTTCTCACACATGTTCCCAGCCTGCTTTGCTAACACTTTAGCAAATACTGAATGTCTTTCCCTCTTGGTGAAAGTAATTGGAGCACACATAGAGTGCTTAAGTTCTCTGCTGCATGGGGACCTTTTCCAAATTATTTCAAAGAGAATGAGGGACCGACCTCATTCCCAGCAAGGATCCACTGTTAAGAAGTCCTGAAAATGACCTTGTTCTTACAGTTGAATTTTACAATGCCAGTGCAGTTCATTTCACAGTAAATTATATTCCTCGGTAATGTAAACAAATGCTGTTGCTCAACCATACAGTCTCATTAGACCAAATCACCTGATATAGCGTTATATAGGCTTCCTACTTTGCTCTGTTCATTTCTGAGGGCATTATTAGCCAATTCCTTACACAGAAGCGAAAACAGTGCTCTTGCAGTGATTCCTTGCTCAATTTTCAAGTTCATTAATCTTCATGATTTAAAAATAGGCATTCCAAAGAGCACCTCTGGTGTTTAAATATTTTAATTTACTGGACTAATTGATAACTATGGTTAGAGCTGTGCTGTGTGAAAATTCTGGGAAAGTCCAAATAAAATCTCACTGCTTATGTTGTCAAATAAAGTTGGTACCAGTTGTAGCTTAATACTTTTAAAATTGTGTGTAAATCACTGTCTGTATTCTTCTAAAACCAAAAAAGGAGTTTTCGGTTGTGGTAAGAAGAAGCAACAATAGTTCCATGATAAATCCCAAGATGCATCAGGCAATTAATTCAGCACTGGATTCACGAAGGACTGTTTATGTTTGTAACCAGTTCAGGATGCCTCTATCAAACTATCAAACACCTGACTCAGGTTTCATTCAAATACACTGTATGTAATAAGGCTAATATTTCTGTTTCATAGAAAGCAGTTTCAAATAGTTCCTCTGGTTGAAATAGCAGCTACTGTGCTACCTTTCAGTTTGGGCCAAAGGAACAGGGCAGCTGCCCGTAGACGCCACTCACAACACTGCAGCTGACCGCTATCATGCTAAAATGGATTCATCCTCTATGGTGTACAGATAATGGGGATCCCTTTTTAAGTTTATGCCATTTTGCTCTGTCAAATCTGACTTATTCTATACTCCAGGGCCTGTACAGGCACAGATAAAAAGGTTTGATTTAAAGAAAAAAAAAACAAAAGTTCAAAGCCATAGATTACCTTAGCCAGGTGAGTATTGATCCATTTTGTGAAAGTCCTTTTCTGCACTGACTCTTGCTCATCTGAGGAAAAAAGGAAATCAGTTTGATTAGATATTGCTGAATCCTTTTGGATTTACATGATGGAAGAATATTCTCTATTGACAACAAATGCATTCTGCAATTGCCAGAAATGCCACTATGTTTTCCTGAGACAGCTAATTTTGCCTGTAACTACCCATAATAAATACTTCATATTCTTACAATAATGCTCTGACACTTGACTATTTGTGGAGTTTCACAGCAAAGTTCAAGTCTTAATGAGTGAACAGTAAGACACAATTTCAAATCTGAATGCCAAGATAAACTTGACATCCAAGTCGATATTATATTTACCCAATGTCTGAGCACCTAGAACTTCTCTGTACTTTTTAAGTAGAACCCATGTCTCTGGCAGTTAAGTTGCTTTTAGTTAGAAAATCAACGAGAGACTTAGAAAAATACTCTTAGCATGTACATTTGAAAATGTTTGTCATGTTGAATTAAAGATTAGAAATTGCATTATCAAGCTTATTTTTCTCTGGGAGATCCAACCAGGGAGGAGCCATTTGCTAGTTCAGGCAGTTTCTGTACTGCTGCTTACTACCTCCCTTAGTTCTGTCTTGAAGCACTTGTCTGATTTATAGTGAATTTCAGTGATTCTCAGACAGTCCCTCAGGGACTGTTGCCAGCTGCATGGACAAAAATAGCTCCTGAATGAGCTCCTCCAACTTCAGCAGCCAGGGTCATGGCTGCAGAGGGAAGAGAGTCACAGCGCCATAACCAATTCATAAAGTCCTGTCCCTTCCTCATGGGGAACTGGGCTTGACACATGGAATAATCTCACACCAGGGGCATTCAAGTATTTATATTGGGGATTTTTCTTTCAAAAATGAAAGGAAATACCTATTTCACTGAAAAACAAATAATGTTATTACCAACATCAGTTCTGAACGAGCACCTTCATTCTCCTACAGAAAATCCAAATAAATAAAATTGCTGTTAAATATTTACTTTTTATACGAACACATGCATGTCCCAGAATCTACAGATGGAAAATCTAATTTTAGTTACTGCCTTTGCTACTCATTTGTGCAGTGCTGAATAGTGATTTGATCTCTTTCACATCTGTAAAATTAAATGGGAATATTCTTTAATCGCCTTTAAAGTTCTGGAATAGACGACTACTAAGTTTGCTGTGCTACTAATAATAAGGTCCCTGATTTACGCTCATGCAATGCTGCTCCACAGTGAGGGTACATAAAGATACAAATCACCACACAAGATTCATCAGCCAAAATGTTGTAAGTGAGACAACAATGGCTCTCTGTCCACATACGAGCTCCCAAAAATTGTCTGTGCATTATGACTCGGGGATATTTTCTTTATACATAAACAATATCTCACACATAATAAATACTAGAGGAAAAAAAGATACATACAGTCTCCAGCATCTATTACCAGATTAGCACACTTCATGTCTAAGAAAATAATTTTGCATTCTTTATTTTCCTTTCCTTTGATTTCATTGGGTAGGCTATCTTACATCATTTTAAAAACATTCATTGCATTCTCAGAATCTACTTGTTGCACTGACGGGCAAGTTACTAAAAACATCACTCAAAATACTGCACTGTGCTTCATTTAACACTGACTATTTTTGGAAGGGGCTGTTTTGACTTCATATGTGACAATTGTTTCTACATTCTGGAAAAGAGACTTCTCACTGTATGGTTTCTAACCATGAACAAGATGTTTCCCTTGTGACATACAGTAAATGTCAGCTGTGCTCTGACAAGCAATGACATATACAGGCAGCCCAATTAATTTCAACGGCAGTACCCGCACACTTGGATCGGGTTGTGCGTGAGTAGGTGTGGGAATGGAGACCGAGCTCGGACAGAATCAGTCCAGCTCTGGCTTCGTTCACACCTCTGGAACTTAAAATTCCCCGCAATCCCGATACAACAATGGTACGCCAAAAGAAAAGAAACAGGCCTTTAGAAGTCAAACTTCGGACCAAGGTAATGAGTGAAAACGATTCCCTAGTTTGTAGTTCCAGTGCATCTTGATGATTTAAGAAACAGCCTTCTGACAACACCTGGAAATCAGAGAACCAGCTCCTGGCTTCTCAACATTTAGCAGCAGAAGACATACTCAGTTTCAGTCATATCAACAAACAGCAGAAATAGCCTTTCAAAATAATCTCTTTCAAGGGAATTTATGTGAGCAATATATTCTTTATGATCCCAACAGCAACTATTAATAATAAAGTTTCCACTTTTTTTAGCAGTTATTTTGTATAGGCTTAGAAGGAACAGATTTTATGACTGTAAAATCTATGTCTGAACATAACCCAAGTAGTGCATTGATTTTACAAATTCCATTATAAATATGCTGTTTACAAATTTCCCTGGAAGCGAATGTGTTATTTTCATTGAACCGCTGTCAATTCTCTGCAGAGGTACTGTTTATCTATACCCACAAGACGCATGTGTCATACAGTTTCTTACGCTCTCCCCACTTGCAAGGGCTGTCAGCTCCTTATTTGCACCACTTACCCTGCCGGTACTGAACGAACCCGGGAAGCACATTTACCGACGTAACATTTCTGCCACCAGCACCTTTGTAGCGAGCCATAAGTGCTGCTGCTGCTGCTCCTGCTGCTGCGACTGCTACTCCTGTCTCATGTAGTGTGCAGCGTTTCTTTAGAATACAGCCAGAAGTAATCTTTCAAGAACAAAGCGATTTTTTTTCCTTCACTGGAAATGCAGGCCTCTTACAAAAATCCCTCCACCTGCTCTTATCGGCGAATTCCCATGAAGCCAAACCTTAACAACATCTTTATATATTCTTGCAGAGATGCAACAGCCAGACAAAGCCAGCTGTATTGGAAGTAGCAGCTCTGCTGGTCTCACTGCCATCATCCTTCTCCACTGTTTTCCTGAGGAAAGATTTTATTATCCGAGCACCAGCCAATCCGCTGGCGGAAACCTCTGATGTCAAGAGCCTGAATAATTCATCCAGGGACTGGGACAACCCAACTACACTGCCGATATCCTAAAGCAGCAAGATGCGTGGCTGCAAAAAGCGATGCAGTCTTCTCACCAGTGCTTTTGTAACAATATACTGCTCAGTAAGCATAAAAATGGCTGAATGGCATAGCCCTTCTCTAGGTTGTCATACATATAAAGGAAATCAGCTTTTAAAAGCAAGCGCTTGGGTGCATCACTGCGTACTCGATTCAGATGTGGATGTCCTTCAGTTTTGCAATTGAAACAGTGAAGTGGAAGAAATAGCAAGCAATGAATGTGAACAGACATGTAGGCCACTTAGCTTTTAATAATATATTTGGACTGCTGTACAAAAAGGATGAAATATATGTAAAAATTCACAGAATTTTTGGAGTGCACCTAGATCAGCCTGAAACATACTCAGATTTCTGATAATATGCAGTACTTTCTATTTCATTAAATCAGAGCACCAGAGCATTTGAACAGAATTTGTTTTGCTCTGGTAGAATGAAGGTAGTTATGAAACTGTGGAGATTCGAATGTCGTTCACCCTCAGGGGCCAACAGAGTAGTACACAATATTGAAATGAGAATAAAAGGCCCACTTTTAGTACGCCATTACATGGCATGTAATGTAACGTAACGTATGGTTATAGAGGTCAAACTCAATTTCCTTTTTTACACAATTACTCTGACAAGACGATTCTGCATCTGAAAGAAATATTGCAAGAAAGTTTAGCTTTATTTAATCAAATGTCTCCCTTTAATTGGCTGGAAATGCCTTCATATTCTTACAAACCTTTTCTCTACTAAGACACCACCAACAGACTGCCTTTTTAGGTTGATTAGGAAAAAAAGGCAAATGTAATTGGATATATTGACTTAAAAACATTTAGAACAAATAATTTCAAAAGAGGAACAAACCCAATCATGCATCTCCAGACCGTTATGAATATGCTGATGAAATATTCATCATGCATGCATATTATAATGACTAGTATCATGCATATCATATACATAGACCAAGAGACAGAGTAGAGGCATGCTTTCTGGCAGAGCTTTTCTGAAGACAGGCTTCCTGAGCCGCACAGCCCCTGCCCGCCGGCTGTGGCAGCATCCCCTCCTCA